CCAAAACCCCAAAACCCCAAAACCCCAAAACCCCAAAACCCCAAAACCCCACATGTAAAAAAGTTCGACGAAAGTTTGAGATTTAATATAATTATTGAAATTTTTAATATAAATTGGTAATGCAAAAAGTGAATAAGATAAACAAGCTTGTGTTCTCAGGGGACAATCATCAAGGGCCAACAGCAATAGCCACGATGAGAGTTCATGCAGGATCATAGCTTAGTATTAATAATCAAAGATCTAGCCCTTAGCCTATTAGCATAAAAGATTTCAGCCAATACAATCAGAATGGTGATTAGAATAACTTCATTATCACAAATTCATAATCACCTTAAATTATCCAATAAATATAGAATAACTAATATCCGATAATTTCTAAGCCTAAAACTTCATTTGGAACGAATAGAAATCATGTAAGTTAACTATTCATAATGCATAATTAGCTCACATAAAGTCATGACAAGCTTAATGAAGGCAATTAAAATGATTTGTATTAGAATAAGGCAGTAGTGAAGATGAAGTTACATAGCTTTGATCCACTTGGATTAGGGAATCTAGCATCCAATGAATCATCTCCATTCGAAGCTGGCAGACTATCTGTAAATGCTCTTCACTTGGGAAGTGTTTAAACAAAGAACCTTTTCTTAAACACAGTTTAACCAGGTCAGAACAATTCAGCAAATGTTCAAACTTATTCAAGCCCTGTTATAAATTCTGCAAACGCTAAGAGTAAGGTTTTCTTTCCCACTTAGGTAAATGGAAACGGCAATAACTCAAAGACATTCAAAATGATGCAAAATATTCCATAATAAGCTAGAGTACAAACAGCTTAGTAAGCTTTTACTAATAGGCCTTAAAGATAGATATTTCCAAACAAAAAGGTGGTTGCAACTGGAGCTGTTTAGAGTATTAACTAGAATCAACTAATAACCTTACCTTAAGCTAATTAGAATAATCTGATATTGAAGCATTAGTCTACACCATTAGTTGGCACCTTAGTAAATTAAGAGGGCAGATCATTGAATCTCTACGGATCATAACTTCAAACTCCTAAGTTATTCACGTAGACATCTACTGGTCCTTTTTTCCACAGAAACAACAATCAATAGACATAGTAAAATCATAGAGGAGGATCATAGCTGTCTTAGCGAAACAAATTGATAGAAGATAAGAACATGAGATTTCTGAATAATCAAATAAATCAAGGTAAGATTAGAGTTAATCAAGAAGGGAAAGTGGGAATTAGACAGATAGGTACTCGAAGTTGTGAGGAGTTAGAAGAATTTGCTGATGGATTTGAACAGCAAGAATAGAATTCTGCTATATACAACGAGGATCAAGCATCTCCTTCTAACTAAAGATACTCAGGAATCGATTTTAATTCTATATACTCGTAATAAATTCAAAATGGGTTCGGTGGAAGAAACTCAGACCCTACAACAATGTCAATTAATAATTTTAGATAGGCTGATACTTTCCTAAATTTGGGGTCAAATGGAACAATTTAGGATTAAGTATCTACCTAGATTTAACATCAGAAAACTTAAGCGTCAAATAATATCTCATCATAAAATAAAAACTAATGGCCGAAAAAGAACACACAGGGACTCCAAGGCTCGATTTATTCTTCATCAGCAGCTTCTTCAATTGAAGGAGATAACATCTAAATATATAATTAAATGGAGGATAATGAGTCATAGGTCAAAATAATTAATTAGGAAAAATAATAGCCAACTTTAAGGCTAATCAAAAGGCATTCTCATAATGAGTTTAATTAGGCGAAGCCAATAAGAGCTATAGATGATGAGTCTCTCTTTAACAAAGAATAGACTGAGTAATAAAGAAATTCATTAGGAAAAATACAATAAGTAAAAAGAAATTTTGGGTCAACTTTGAATCCTGCTGATATTTTAATGCAGATGAAAGCATAGGAACATACGAATTCCTAGTAAGATATCCCCTTTTCAGTAAGTAGTGATGTAAAAACAGCTAAGCAGCAATAAAGAAAAATAATATCAAAAAATAATATAAAGTTTGCAAGAGCTTCTGTGATAAACTCTGATGGGACAAACGGGGCTGGTAGCCTACATCCAGATAAAATGGAAACTTTACAAAGTAGCAATATTTCACCACCACTAGAGTTGGTGAATGATTTGAACATTGAAAAGTAATAATAGCAGCAGTAACCGTAGAAAAAGGCTATTAAAAAAATCAGAGATGCTCAGTAGATTGCAGACTCATTTGATAAGAAAGGAATCGGCAAAGCAATTGTTTAGTATTAATTTGAGATGGCAGACAAAGAAGAAGAAAATTGTTTCAAAGGGCTTTATGATGCTCTCAATCAATTCTTTTGAGGAAATTATTACTTTTCAGAATTAAAGTAACTACTCATTCATTCAGCCTTCAATTTTAACTTTTTATATGATCATTTAATCTTTCACTAAAATTCTAATTTAAAATCGAAATGGGGTTTTGGGGTTTTGGGGTTTTGGGGTTTTGGGGTTTTGGGG